CTGTTGTGCCCCGGTGATGTCAGTGTTCCGTGACTCTCAGTTGATGCTGGGCTACCATCTGTTACCAAGGCAACGAAAGTCCAGTACCGCAATCCTCTTGCAATAGCCTTTTTTTCAGTCGTCAGACTATGCAGCCAGTGAGGTCAGACCTCGCTGTCTGATGCAAGCAGAGTATATGATAGAGAGGGCCAGACATTATTTAGCCGATAATCATTGTTAGTCCTATTAATAATATTCAAAATAGTCAATGCAGAGCCCACTCCAGATATCTGCAGCGTGACGCAGGAGCGCATGTTGGTGCCCAGGGGTGGAGTCTGTCAGATCTGCAAGCACCTCTTACCGAATAATGCCAAGAGCCCCTGCTCACATGTTTCGGGTGTCATGTTTCAAAACCCCAAGGCATTGGAGTGGTGGCCGTGATGATACATGCTTTTAAACATTGAAAAGCTGTGTGTGTGTATGTGAGTGTCTTTGTGGGGGGACGCTTAACCTGGGTCTGATTTTTATTTTTTATTTTGTTTCTAATTTTTTGAGTAACTGGATGCTTATTCAGACTCTGAAAGTTGTTTCTGGCATTTGTAAGCACTCTTCCTGCATGTGCTGGCTCGTGTGTGTGTGTGTGTGTGTGTGTGTGTGTGTGTGTGTGTGAGTGCGGGCGGGCGCGTGTGTATCTGTGTGGGGGCGGGTCCAGCCTGCTGATGTCACTCAGCCCAGCGGGCAGCTCGTGAAAGGGCCCCTTTGTAGGCAGCTGGTGACAACGTTGAGCTCATTTCAGTTTCTCCGGCTCACGGACACGGCGCGAATTCACTCAGGAAAATGGACTCAACCACGCCGAGCCCCCGAGTCTGAGACACGGCAACCCCCGCTGCCTTTGTGCTTCCTCCTCTCCCCCTCCTGACCGGAGAGAGATGTTGCAACCGCGTGCAGTTGGAAGTTTGTAGACCAAAAAGGAGCCCGGTTTGAGTGTCTGTGGGAAGTAGTGGGAGAAAGTGGAGGACAGCAGCAAACTCCAGATTTAACCTCTTTCAGCTTTTTTCATTTGAATTCAGTGACTTTGAGTTCATTCAGCTGATTTTCACTAAAACTGCGGAAATAGTGACCTTGAGCAGGAGAGGCCGTGAGAGGGACACTAGTGGGCAAGCAAGCGTCCAACGGGACAGTCACGGGAGCGGGAGTGAAATTAAACAGATGAGAATGCTGGAGATCTGCCTCAAGTTGGTGGGGTGCAAATCGAAGAAGGAGCTCCCCCCCTCTTCCGGCTCCTGCCTGGAAGGTAAGGGCTTGGTGGGGGGGGGGCAGGAGGCATGTGGCGGGAGGTGTCAGCTTTGGGAAGCAGGTGGCGGTGACGGGTGCACTGGCAGCTGCGGGCTCCACAGATGTGGCCCCCCCTCAGTGGGATCCCCTTGGCGAGTTTGTGTACAACTGGGGTTTTCTGAAAAAAAAGGGGGACAAAGACGGGTGTTGTGGGGGGGGGGGGGGATGTGGAGTACAACTTGGGGACGCCACTAGAATTAATGCCTGCTCTCTGCTGCTGACCGTCATGACTGCAGGAGCAGGGAGGCTTCTGTGAGTTTTAGCATGAATATCTGTGAGGACATAATGAATGGTAGAGTAACTCATTTATAATGGTGGCTTTGCTAGAGGCTGACTGAGTACCAAACATCGCATTAGGAAACCTGCTATCAGAGGCGAACAGATACTGCCCAGGACTTGGTTGTTACTTTACAGTACTTAAAAGGTCGAATGAAACCACAACTTAGAGTGTATTCTGTGAAACGTTCCTATGGAGTTACCCAGTCAAGCTGGGAAGTCTGTAAGAGATGTAGCCATTATTATTCGCTTTCCATTGTAAAACGAGGGCGGTGCCTGGGGCCTGTGTCGGACGTGGTCCATGTGGTGACTGACGCTGGGTCTAGTGGACGAAGTGGAATGTGGCTGTTGGAGTGAGAGAGGGGTGCTCTGGACATTACACACCAGTGAGTGTGTCATGAGGTGAGGGCCTGTAGTGGGCTGTTCATTCATTTAAAAAAACAAAAAACAAAACTTTGCTCATTCATTTTTTAAAAACATTGACTGCTTGCGCGGTTTAACCTCTGATTCACATTTCTGTCATGTTAATAATGTTTTGCTTTTTTACTATAGAATTTATTTTAATCTCTTTCATTCTGCTTGGTGCCTCACATCTTCTACTTTGACTTTCTGTCTTCCTACATTTGACTCTTATCTTTTGGTAAACAAATCTCTATCATTTTCCCAAGTAACCAGTGGTTTGTCATATCTGCCCTTGTCCTCCCTATTCACATTTATATCTGGAACTGATATGGAAGACAGAATAAATTGTAATGAGTTCTTAGGAGGTTTAACCCTGGAAGTTTTGGGACTGACTAGTCCATGGGTCTTTTTCCATGGAATGTGAGTCACATCCTTGATCTGACTTCAGTCAGTCTGCTGTAATTCTCTTACATCTAGGCGGGCACAAAGTAACCAGGTAATGTAACACTCTTACCCATTACTTTGAGTGTTATCTTAGTGTTTATTGATGTGATTGGCATGTGTCTGGCCTGTAGCATCTCTTCTGGTGCTGGTGATGTTGACCAAACAGCTGAAGGTGCTGAAACTCACGCAGTGATGTCACTGCCATGACCTGTTACCTCACTTCACCCCTCTCTGCTTCACTTTCCCGTTTTTCCTGCTCAAAAGCCTGGTTTTGGCATGTTAATTTTCCTCACTGGGCAATTCACAACAGCTAAAAAAACAGGGGGATGTATTCTCATTTTTGGTTCAGCATTTTTTGTGTTTGTAATTTCACTGCAGTAGGTGGGCTGGGCTGGGTTGAGAGGTTTGAGCCTTCTGCCAAGTCTTTGTTGCCATAATTAATCAGATAACAGGAGTAAATTCCAAGAAGTCTCTCTGGAGTAAAACGGCGGAGGGGGTGTGCGTCATAGTACATTAGCGACTTGATGTCTATGCAGTAATTATATAGTGGTATTCATATGGTTCCCTTCGCCCACAATAAGCTTATAAAAAGATGTAAAATGCAAAGCATCAACTATCCTCACTGCCATGAATCTGCCAAATGCTGTCAGATGGGCTTCTCATCTCGTGGCTTTGGTGGCACAGGGACCACCGCATTACCTTGGCAGGCCGATGTGGAAAGCGGCACTGGATCTGGAACGGAACTTTAGTGAGGACTCATCGCGTGTCTCATGGGGCTTGAATGTCTCACCTGGAACACATCCGGCAGGGGGGGTGGCAAGTCATCTGCTGAATCGTTTTCTCTGATGGTCTGGGTGAGCCGCTTCCAGCAGGCACTGAAGGTGTGTGTGAGACTATATTTCTAGTATGAATTGTTGTGAAACCAGGGCTGCTCATGTGGGGCTGTGCAGCAGTGTGTCGCCACTGCGGCGTGAGGCTGAACCACACAGCTGGCGCGGCCCATGCAGTGCACTTGAGTTCATGCTGAATGAGCTTGGGCTTTGTGGTCAAAGGCGGATGGAGTCCCAGAGAACAAGTTTTGCCCCCCCCTAGTTATCGGTGACATTGGCAGGGATGTTGTGCGTGAGCAGATTGGGTCAGTGTTAGTGATGCACCAATAAGGATATTTCTGATTGATACCGATAGCCAATTATTTCGAAGACTGATACCAATTTGGGGGATTCTGCTTAAATAAGTTTAAAGGGATACTCCACCTAAATACAGTAACAGTCCCAGAGCACTGTAGTTTATAACTGTATACATCTTATATGTCCACAACATTTAAAACAGAGTAGGGCTGATCATCAAGTGCGATAAGCTCCGTAATTTTCCCAATAATATCTTGATTTCACACTGAATTTTCTTTTGCTACTTGCATTATTGATGGACTGTAATTATTCAGCGGTACTGCAGCCTTCTTTATTGGAATGGATCTGTTTGTCAGAAACTCTTCATACTCTTCACTGTGAGTAGTTAAGGTGAACCGTCCAATTTGTTCTGTTGAAATGCTAATTAGTAAGTCATCCTCATGAAATTTTAGCAGAGCAGTGTTTGCAAAATGCATTTCTAATGTTGTTTTCGGTAACGTTAACATATTTCCACACAGCAGACAGCAATATGGGTCACCATTTTAAATGGAATTATCGCCGGTAAAAAATCGGCTGGTAACAGTAGTTTGTCGATACAGTTGGTGCATCTCTAATCAGTGCATTTGGTGGCATGAGGAAACTCACTGGATCTGGTGATGGTTTCTAAAGAAACACTGCTGTCTTCAGAGTTGCACAGTGCTACATGAATCCAGGAGGTTCACGACTTCACTGCAGCATCTGTAAGTGCTCTGTGCTCCAAGATACTCTGTCACTTTTGAAAAGTACCCCACACTCAGTCTTGTTCCTGCTAACCGGTTGCTTTGGTTTCCAGGGCAACCCTAAGTCCCTTTAATGAACCCCTATACTGAATTTACCATGACCAGCAGGGACCTAAATTGGCAATTATTACCAAGCCAGCAATGTGGAGCTTTTGAGTTTTGTACCCAAACCACATTAATGGCAGAAATTCCTGCCATACAAATTAGCCCGAAGCATCAGGTTGCGAACTAGATCAGCTCCAGTCTTTCCTGTGCTGTTATCACAAAGGTTTACTGCCTCTTCCTTCCTGCCTGTCCACACAGATTGTCCTGGAGAGTGAGTGGTAGATCAGCACCCTCGTGTGCCAAAAATGTAAGCAGGATGAGAATAACAAGGGCGCTCTGCTTCCCTGGGGGTTAGGCCCCTTGCTGTCTGGCTCTGTGCCACCTGGCCTTGTCGCATGAAAAATAAACCGTAGGCGATCCAGTCATGAGGTTCTCTTACGGCAGAAGCATAGTGTCAGCTATTGGCTGTGGACCCCTGGCAGCCTTGATTGCACTGTTCTCTTCAGGGGTATTTTGGACACATTTTGAGATGTTCCTCTTGTGATTCATGCACGCTTTTTAATGTCTATGTGTTCGTATGCGAGTGAAAGTTTGCCACTGTTCCCATGCACAGAAGCTCTCCAGCGACCTGACATCGAGCCGCCGGGCCTTACGGAAGCTGCCCGCTGGAACTCCAAGGAGAACCTGTTGGCAGGACCCAGCGAAAACGACCCCAACCTGTTCGTTGCACTGTATGACTTTGTGGCAAGTGGAGACAACACCTTGAGCATCACTAAAGGTCAGAACAAACTGTGTGTCAGATCGAGGAGTGTAACTGTTCATGATTCAGAACAAACCGTGCTTTTGGGTTCACAGTGCAATTTCAGCACAGCACGGAAAACAGAATTTCTTTTGGAATTATTATTAAAACTGCAAGCACATTTAGGAACCATTGTAAACCAGCAGTGCACCTGTTGATGTGTCTGAATAACAAAATCTATGAAACGCTTATTTGCACATTGTAAAAATAACATGAATTTAAAAAAATCAAAAATGAAACATAACAATCATAATTAACTAAATCCTGTGTTCTCTACTACTGAGTATGGTCACATATCTGTAGCGATAAGCATGCTTTATAGCCTTAGTCATTTATCCATTTATATATTAGCCCTGTCTGAATTTCCTGCCAAAAATGCCTTAAACGCCAGTGGCTGTTGCAGCCTTGCTCCAGTCATACACACACTCAGATGATGTTGTCTCAAATGAGTTAGAATGTTTGGTGTGTTTCCAGCAACACATCTGAGTTCGGTATAACAGAGCCGACGGTCAGTCTTGGTCTTATCAACTGCTCTCTCTAGTGCTGGTGTAATTTACTGGGAAACCAAAATGTTCCCAAACTGCCCATTATGACTGACTGTAACCAGCACTAGCTGTAATCAGCTCACAGCTACAATTAGCGTAATGTTTTCCCGTTGAACATGTGCTTGTGAATTTAAGTTCTGCATGTGTCAAGAAATTTATTAATTTGTTTCTTTGTATATGCTGAACTGAAAATGATTTACTGAAATTTACACGACTAATACGTGTACTGTTACAGCCTTAGAACAGAATCAGAGTAAACGGGCAAGTTGCTGGTTCCAAATTATTACCACACTGCTATGCTGAATCACATGCTGAAGGTGTTTGGTCTAAAGAATTAAAATATTTTACGTTGAGACTCCTGTCAACTACCAGGAATACGTCAAATTAATATGTGAAATGGGGTCTCTTTAAGTGTTATGGTATGAGAGGTACCTCCTTGTGAACAAGCTGCTGCATGTCTGTCGCACGCTGTCCATATCGTCTTCACTGTATCTCCAACTGGATATAGCTCTGCAGCCTTGATGACAGCAGAGCTCTTGTTCCAATCTACGGGATGTTGTTATAGATATTAGTGATGCTCCGATTGATCGGCCACCGATCATGATCGGCCGATATTGGCAAAAAAATAGCTTGATCGGCGAACCCCAAAAGCGGCCATCAAAAAAGCCGATCACTTGACGTAAATTACTCGCACGACTTTTTCACACGTGCATGTGAAAAATGTGCAAATAAGCGTTTCATAGATTTTGTTATTCAGACACATCAACAGGTAAACAACAGCAGAGCGGAGCTTACTAGTGGCAACATGAGTTCTCCCGTCTGGAAGTTTTTCAAAGTGTCCAATAAAGACGTAAAGTTAGCCGTTTGCAATGTATGTCGTGATGAAATCCCTCGAGGTGGAAGCAAGCAACGACATTTTAACACCACTAACATGATTAGGCATCTTAGAACACGCCATACAACTGAATATGCTGAGTATGAGAAACTAAACCACTCTACTCTCGGGGAACATTTCATGTGTTGACCCTGGAGGTGTCAGGCAACAGTGCTGACCAAAGTGTCACTGCCCCTCCTTCAGTGTGTAGCCTATTTCTACAGTTTTTTTTTCTCAATATAGTTAATTTAGAGTTAGTTTCATTTCTACAAATGGTGCAAACTCTGCTAGATTATAGATAAAAGATTCCCATTCCCCTGCCATTCTGTGATCGGCAGTGATCGGCAATCGGCAGATCATGATCTTGGTGATCGGTAATCGGTGATCGGCCCCAAAAATGCTGATCGGAGTATCTCTAATAGATATGATCGTATCTCGTGCAGCATCTGCCGTGTGATGCTGCTGCTGGCTGTCCAGGCTGTTCTGCTGATTTTATTGGAAAGGCCAGATCGCATGTGGTTTGTAAATATGATGCAGTGCTAGCAGCGCTTAGAGTATCGCGTATCCATAACCTGTGGTGCCATTATTACGGCCTTTGGAAACCCCACTGTACTGTACTGTCTACTGTAGCGTAGCACCTGGAGAACACGGGACAGTCAGTCAAAGTGGCACTGGCTCAGGAAAACACACAGCGATGTCATTAGCTGATCCTGGAAAGGCTTGGTGGGCTGAATCTAGCCATGCATGAAGTCGGGGGCTGCACATGCCTGGGTATTCGTGCTGATGGGATGTGAAGGAGAACTGGTGAAGCGTTTCTCACAGACATCCAGTGCGAGTACCATGCCCTTGGAAGTCCACAGCAATATGTTTTGTTTTAATTCTGTAATTGTTGAGAAGAGTGGCTATGCCAATATCCTAAACAGGCAAAAGTATTTTTTGTTTAAAATGTATTTTAATGCTTCTCAATCTTACAGCAGTATTACAAATTAATTAATTTATTTGAAATTAATGTACTTATTGGATGAGTTAAATATTCTCAAATTACCCACAACGCAAAGCACTGGGACTGATGTGGGAGTGTCGTGACCGACTCCATGTCCTCCTGCAGGAGAGAAGCTCCGGGTGCTGGGATACAACCACAATGGCGAGTGGTGCGAGGCGCAGACCAAGAACGGACAGGGCTGGGTGCCCAGCAATTACATCACGCCCGTCAATAGCCTGGAAAAACACAGCTGGTACCACGGGCCCGTGTCACGCAATGCCGCCGAGTACCTGCTCAGCAGCGGCATCAACGGCAGCTTCCTGGTGCGCGAGAGCGAGAGCAGCCCGGGTCAGAGGTCCATCTCGCTGCGTTACGAGGGCCGCGTCTACCACTACCGCATCAACACGGCCTCCGACGGCAAGGTGGGTGTCATCTCATAAAGACATAAGTCCAACAGGGAACGTGGCAGCATCCCCCAGTCACCATCCTTACCTGCTGTCAGAGAACTCATACTTCGTAGAATGAAGGTTCTGTCCTTCTAAATGCACATTGGCTGGTGTGATGCTGGGCAGGGCTGTGGGGGGCACTGTGGTTTAGTGTGGGAGAGCTTTAAGGGGCCCTCTAGCCCTGATTAAAAAGACCTGGGACTGGGGATGCCTGGCACACATTAATCCTGGGAGGAGGCTTGTTGGGGAATGGGGAGGGGGGTGTAATTGTATTGAAACCTTGTCTAGGTCTGCACTATATCACATCGTGATTATACGGTGAATGCACTATAATCACCAGGGCTTCCGATGACAGGTGTAAACATTTGTTCGTTTTTTCAATAATATATGGGAGTTTACTAGCGCCTACAATTTGATTAACCGATTAGAAGTATGCCTAGAATATTAAGTTAATCTGCATAAATTCAGCATATCCTTTTGTTTGATAAACGTGTCAGACTTTAAACTGCAAAACGCACCTTCACACCACTGATGTCTTGTTTATCCACAATATCTCCTCTTTTAGAAAATGTTGTGGCTGCTGAGCTGTTCCTTTCTTCACCGCCATTTCAATGCTTATCCCTTCCATGGTTTACCAAAACGGTAGTAATCGTATTACTAATCTACTTGTGGCTGTAAGTAAATGCCCATATGGTACCGAAAAGCGGGGTCTGGACAAATGCTTACACCTCTTACCTTAAGCCCTGGTGATTATTGCATATGCACCCTACAATTGTGATGTGATATCTTGCAGCCCCAATTGCAGTGCAGCCTTGTTAAGGTCGCAGGATCCATTGTTTTGTTAGATGCGTTATTCTGGTCTGACCTCCCGGTGGATCTGGGGGAACCGTAAGCTGCTGCCTCTCTGTGACTCTGCACGTAAGATTGTGAGGAGCAGAGTTGGGGTGGCGGGATGGTAGATCCCTCCCTGCGTGGTAGCGTTCCCCTGATATTTACCTGTCACTGCTCCTCGTTGCTTCCCTGCCAGCTGTACGTGTCGTCGGAGAGTCGCTTCAACACGCTTGCTGAGCTGGTGCACCACCACTCCACGGTGGCCGATGGGCTGATCACCACGCTGCACTACCCCGCCCCAAAGCGCAACAAGCCCACAATCTACGGAGTGTCGCCCAACTATGACAAGTGGGAGATGGAGCGCACTGACATCACCATGAAGCACAAGTTGGGAGGGGGGCAGTACGGGGAGGTCTATGAGGGTGTCTGGAAGAAGTACAGCCTCACCGTGGCCGTCAAGACCCTCAAGGTACCTTCTGTCTTGCTGAAATTGCTCGATGTACAAAAACTGCTAGTGTTCTGCACCTGTAATTACAGGCAGTACAGATACTATGCTGAGCTGCAAACTACGAGCAGATAATGACTAAAATAGGAGAGCGCCGGCCTGGCTGCTCGATATAGCAGGAGTGTGATGGACAGCTCTGGCTAACAGTCTCCTCTGTGCTGTGCGCTTGCTCACAGGAGGACACGATGGAGGTGGAGGAGTTCCTGAAGGAGGCCGCAGTCATGAAAGAGATTAAGCACCCTAACCTGGTGCAGCTGCTGGGTGAGTGTGTGGCTGTGTGTGTGTGTGTGAGTGTGTGGGTGTGTGTGTGTGTGTGAGTGTGTGGCTGTGTGTGTGTGTGTGTGTGGCTGTGTTCTTTGCTGGCATCCCTTAAGCACAACCATATGGGCGCAACCTGTTTTGGAAGGAATAATCGCAGCTCTGGAACTTTGCTGGTGTTCATTTGGGGTTGAATTGAACAAAATCATCAGTGGAATGTGTTTTGGGGGGGTTATGTTGTTCCTAGTAAGAAAGGCATTGCTATTACTCTGTTATTCTATGTGCCCTCACTGTTTTTTTTAGTCTTCTATGGAAAGGTAATAAGCTAGGGCATATGTTCCATATGTTTTCTCTAAGTTCGTTGTACATACCCTGGAAACACCCATACATCTAAAGGCGGCTCTTACCAGAAGCATGCGGCCTCATTCCAGAGGTTTCACTCATTTGACCTGTATTTGTAACCTCTGCTCATTACTTCATTCTCCATTATAATAATGTTAATACACAACACTCTTGCGTGTCCCTGCAGGCGTGTGCACACGAGAGCCCCCCTTCTACATCATCACGGAGTTCATGACCCACGGGAACCTGCTGGACTACCTGCGTGAGTGTAACCGGGAGGAGGTCAACGCCGTGGTGCTACTCTACATGGCCACCCAGATCTCCTCCGCCATGGAGTACCTGGAGAAGAAGAACTTCATCCACAGGTGAGGTTGCCTGCTCACTTCATCTGCTGTGTGTGTGCATCTGTGTGTGCACGTTCTTTTGTAGGGGGACCTGGAGCTTGGTCTTGTCCTGAGGTATCTGAAGGTAGTCTTCAAAAAAATCTGACCCATCCTTCTACTGTTAAAACAGGCCTGCTTTCTGAAATCATAACATTCCAGTTAAATACTCCTTACGTGAACAGTACTTTAAAACTGGATTTCACCAGTTTTGTGTAACACTCTGTGACCATATTTTTTATATTCAGATATTTTTAGCTGCTTCTAGTATTTTGTATGTGGCAAGAACCTCCAATTTTTGTTCATTAGCCTCGTTCTCATATGGGTCCTACGCTAACCTGGGCTGCCTGCTGCATCCCCTTCCCCAGGGATTTGGCTGCCCGGAACTGCCTGGTGGGGGAGAACCACCTGGTGAAGGTGGCAGACTTTGGGCTGAGCCGGCTAATGACCGGGGATACATACACGGCCCACGCCGGTGCCAAGTTCCCCATCAAATGGACCGCCCCAGAAAGTCTGGCCTACAACAAGTTCTCCATCAAGTCCGATGTGTGGGGTGAGAGCCGCTTGAGCCAGAATGATACTCACTGATGCACTGTCTCACAGAGAAACGACTGGAATTTCATATTGTAAATCTTGCAGGGCATTGATGAAAACATAGCCCTAATAAGATTATTTAATGCTTTAGTCAGACCACCATGATGTTCATGTTGATAAGAAGATGGGAAAGTTGGTCTCTAAATAAAAATTTGATGGTGCGAGTTTATGCTTGTCTTGAGTGGGTTTGGGTGTCGTCTGGAGAAGCAGAACTCTGAAAAAGCAGAAAATTTGGGGTTTGCAGTGTCAGGTTGGAGGTAGAAGAAGTGATTGTGGCCCAGTATGAAGCTGCTACTTAATCCCGCCTTCTGTCCGACAGCGTTTGGTGTACTGCTGTGGGAGATTGCCACCTACGGGATGTCGCCCTACCCGGGGATCGACCTGTCCCAGGTGTACGAGCTGCTGGAGAAGGACTATCGCATGGACAGACCGGAGGGATGTCCGGAGAAGGTCTACCAGCTCATGAGAGCCTGTGAGTCCTGGAGGCCTCCTTGTTCATGAAGGACTACATGTCCCCGTTTCTGTGCTATGTCTTTGATCCACGAGATTCATTTCCTGTCTCTCTTGTCATGTTGATGAACTGGCTCATTTGGACGGTAATGTTGTCTGCTGTGTGTGTGTCTGTGATGATTCCCTGTTACCATCTGCTGGCTTTCTCTCCTTCCTTCATTAAGGCTGGAAGTGGGACCCCGCAGAGCGACCATCGTTTGCTGAGACCCACCAAGCATTTGAAACCATGTTCCAGGAGTCCAGCATTTCCGATGGTGTGTTTCGCCTCCTTTCTCACACACGCACTTTAGTGTCAGTCATCTTTTCTGCTCCCATTCTATGATTTTAGGCTCCTAAGTAGAAGCTCTTAGCTGTAACGAGGGGAATCTGATTCGCAAAAATTGGGAATTCCCATAAATAAAACCATAGACATTATATAGACAGTAATGTTTGACAGCAGCGGGGAGTTGGTCCAAGGATGGGTAAGCCAAACCGCTACTGGGGGGTGCGCTGAGTGGGCTGCAGGCTGCGTCCCACTGTAGGTGACCTCAGTCAGTCAGGGCTTTGTGTTACTTACTGTTTATACGAGGCTGTGCCCTGTGCCTAGTCAGTCCCAGATTACCATGCTGCTTCCAGCCTAACCTGATTTCTTCATGGGTTTGGTGCCTGTCCCCCCACCCCCGGCAGAGGTGGAGAAGGAGCTGGGGAAGAAGGCAGAGCTGGGGAAGAAGGCAGAGCTGGGGAAGAAGGCAGAGCTGGGGAAGAAGGCAGAGCTGGGGAAGAAGGCAGAGCTGAGCTCGGTACAGCAGGCCCCAGAGCTGCCGACCAAGACCAGAACCCTACGCAAGAACATGGACCGAGATGGAGACAGTCCAGGTGAGACCAGGGTCCCTGTTAATTTGGCATGGCTGATACCAGTTCGGTATTGGGAATTGGTTTATGTAAAATTATTCTTTATCTGGTAGATATTAAAAATAATATGCTTAGGAGAGTTTGTGGTCACACAGACTGGGTAAGCAAGGTTTGGTTTCCTGCCTGTTGTAGATCCACCGGAGCCCAGCGTGGCCGCGTCCCCAGTGCTGCCTGGCAAGGAAAGGCTGCCCGACGGCAACCTGAACGAGGATGATCGCTTGATGCCTAAAGACAAGGACCGATCACGGACCAGCCTCTTCAACCTCATCAAGAAGAAGAAGAAGACCGCCCCGGCTCCCCCCAAGAGAAGCAGCTCCTTCCGGGAGTCAGAGATGCGTGGAGAGGAGTTCAACAACGGCTCACTTTTCAGCGATGGCATCCCTGGCGTTGACCCCGCCAAGTTCCTGAGCACCAACAATGGTGCGGGGGGCTTGGCTAACGGGGCGGCCGCCTACCCAGCTCCCTCCGGGCTCCTCCCGATGCACTCCTGGAAGAAATGTGCGCCTGCTTCCCCTGCTGCCAGTGGCAAGGCACACACTGTGCACCCTGGAGAGGATGACATCCTGTCCAACTCCAAGCGCTTCCTGCGTTCCTCCTCGGCCTCCAGCATGTACCCTGGCTGCCACCACATGGACAGAAAGTCAGTCACCTTGCCTCGCAACCTGGAGTCGCGTCAGTTCCCCTCAGGCTCCTTTGGTGGCTGCCGCGACCGGCCCGCCCTGCCACAGAAGAAATCCACGGAACACAAGCAAGAGGGTGCCCCCCGCCTCGGCACCCTCACCCCCCCTCCGCGATTGCCCAAAAAGGCAGAGGACATGTCAGACGAGGTCTTCAGGGACCCCGAGTCAAGCCCGGGCTCCAGCCCCCCAACCCTGACCCCTAAACTGCTCCGCCGACTACCCAGTCAGGGCGAGGTCTCCAGGACCAGCGCCCTCCATGCAGAGCTGCTAAAGCCCAATGTTTTTCCTGCCCTAGGGGCAGCAGGTGAGGAGTGCCGGTTGCGACGTCAGCACAAGGAGAAGGGTAAATCACAGAAGTTCAAGCCCGCGCCTCCACCGCCTCCTGCCGCAAAGTCTGCAAAAGTCGCCTGGAGCCCTTCCCAGGACACTCTGCCTGATGCCAAGGCTAAAGCATTCTCGCAGGGCCTTGACCCTCACTCTCCCACCCCCAGCACCTGTGAACAGGGCAGGTCTCCCCCGGGACAAGAGGGCAGCAAGAAAGTCAGTCTGGGTGGGACATCGAAGCTGCCGTCCCCAAAGCCATCCTCCTCAGTGTCTCCACCCTGCCTGTCTTTGGGGTCCTCTAGCAGTGACCAGGGTGCGTCTGCCACCTTTCCCCCCCTCGTGACACCCCGACGACCTCTGCGTAAGGCCTGGCAGCCTCCGGAGCGGCACTCCAACTCAGCCGCCACCCGGGAGATGGTGCTGGAGGGAATGGAGCAACTCCGGGTCGCCATCGACCGGAACTCTGAGCAGATGGGCAGCCACAGTGCTGTGCTAGAGGCTGGCAAGAATCTGTCCAAGCACTGCGCCAGCTACGTGGACTCCATCCAGCAGATGAGGAGCAAGTTCGCTTTCCGCGAGGCCGTCACCAAGCTGGAGAGTAGTCTCCGCGAGCTGCAGGTCTGTCCGGCCACCACTGGGGGTGCTGCCGCACAGCAGGACTTTACTAAGCTGCTGTCCTCCGTCAAAGAGATCAGTGACATTGTCCAGAGTTAGCGACAAAGGTGCTGGTGTTCCCAGAACGTGCCGGACCGTGATCAGGGAGTGCTTCGTCTCACTCGTAGCATGAGGCCCATTTTGGGGTGGGGCACCATCTATACCCCAGGCCAGAAAACACAAAAAGTGCTAAGCAAGGCAAGAAATCAAAGGCTCCTTTAAAGGATCCCCAGCTTTGCTCAGTAAGAAAAGCCAAAACACTAACTGTTAACTTTATGAAAAAACATTGGAATCTGCCTCACCTGAATTTGTGGTTTTTAATATTTTAAAGTGTCTTCTATTCCCACACTACAGATATTTTTATATACGATATAAGGGAGAGTGGTACAAACTCCAGTTTGTCCAAATGTTGTTCTGGCCCATTTGATAGTGCCGAGATTTCGGTGGGGAATGTGAAGGGTTACAGGACAGAGATCAATGTGCTTTTTGTTTTCATTTTTTGTTTTATTTCAGTTTACTCAGCCATCCCCGTGAGTGTCAACAGGGTCTGTTCTCGGCTTGGAATTGGGCCGAGAGCCTGTCAGGGCAGAGGAGTCTCATCCCCATTAAGCTAAACAGAATGACCTTTGTTTCACGGCATGGTGATGATCACATGATTGGTTGCAGCCAGGGTTGTGTGCTTTTGCAGGTGGGCAGAGTTGGGGAGCCGGGGCCAATCTGGAACAGTGGGACCTTTTCGTATCCGTGCCTTAGAACCATAAACCCAAAAGCAGAGACCGCTTAGACAAGCCGAGTAACATGGCCTTGCACTACATGTTTATTCAGTAAAAGCCTTTAAGTCTATGGTATATACAAGGTCTGTCTGCTGATGTGTCCCTATCATAAACACTTGTGCCCAGAAGTCTTGGGGAATTCTGCAGTGTTGGCATATAATTTGACATTTTTGATGTCTTAAAAGAACTGTGGTCTTCATTAACAGATATTTTTTGACAGTCTTTTTTTAGTTTTTTTTTTTTCACAAAATACTCAGGAGCTTCCTAATAATGACATCACAGGCGTTTGTTATAAATTCCCAGGTGGTTGGTAAGCTGTTTTTAAAGACTATACTTTAGATAAACCAAAAAAGCAACCTACACCACTGGCTATTTAAGCCAGAGGGTTGGTTACACGCGGAGGTGATGGACAGTTAAGCAAAAAAAAAGTCTACCAAACCGACGTGCCACTTTGCATCCAACCTGTTAGGATGTGGTTTATTTTTAATTTACTGTTGATAAGACTTCAGTATTGGAGTCCTTTTGGCCATCGCTCTTGCCCTTTCTGCCTGTACAACGTAACACGGTACTTTTTTGTACGTTTAAGAACACGCCACTGTATTTGACTTGCATCCTAATGGTGTCACCATTTCAGAATACTAACTTTACGTTTTGGCGTTCGTCCTTGTACATACCTTCCTATCCCCTTCCCTATAACCCTGGTGCAAACACCAGAGTAATTGTGTTAACTGAGTGGTGGTGCTTTTCTATTTTGCTAATTACAGATTTCATTAAAATCTTTCAAATTGTGTTACAGGTATAACAAACGCTTGTTCATATCCAAACTGTATTTGTTTTTTACCCCCTGACAACCAAGGAACTGGCCTGCTCTCCTGCCACCACCTTTACCCAGTATGGGTTCCAGTGCACTGTGTTAGCCACTGCTCAGGTTGCAAGCTCTGTACTGTCAGTGCAACTGATACTCACTGGTTTAACGGTTACTGTTTGTTTCCTAACATTTACTTCCTACTGCAGTGCAAGAAATCTAATTTTGTAGCTGAATGTACAGAAAATGCATATCCCCACCTTGGAAAACCAAAAGTCTTTCATGAACACACTACTACAGTTTACATTGCCTGAGCTGGCTTGAACAACCTGGTCTGATCCTGTCTGAACCTATTTGATTTGATATGATCCATGTAGTACAAATGCTTAAACGGTGAGGTAATTTCAAATTCAATATGGTTTGAACAGGTTTGCAATTTCATCTTTCTACACTAAACAAATTACTAGCAGTAAGGTTATATTAACCAATGAAAGTTTCATGTCATCTGATTAGATTCCTGTAAATAATCTATTGCATATTCTTGATTGCTGAAGGTAGAGGAAACACTGACTGTAATGGAGCCATTTTTTGCAATTTCCACAAGTTACATGAAGCTTTTTATTGAATGAAAAACTACCAAATTCTACTGTGATGCTTTTGTGACCTTGATATAACATGGAGACAATTCATTAAATTACTGAAACCAAATCCAGCAAAGGATGAAAGGATATTGACACAAAAGCATGATTAAACAAAGGTTTAGAACATTAAAGAGCCACGGAATTCTCTATGTACAGTACACATACTTTATTTATAAATAGACCAATAGCATGGCAGTCCATGGAAATACAATGTTGAATGGGTAAGTTAAGACAATATTTATCAATTTGTGTTTTATAGCAGATCATGGGTGTGTCATGACATTACAGATGCCATAATAAAACATTAAACTTGAAGATTCAGCTATATGTAAAGTAACTTCAGATGTTACATTTGGTGTTTGTCTTTAAACAAAACGTTCAAAAGATGACAAAATTCAATGTTTTCCTAACCAGATTTGCACTGGCATTCCTCTGGTCAGAAGACTCACTGAATGTGGCCTTTTTAATAAACCATGCTTCACGAGACTAGAGAGCGGTCAAACCTTCAGCCTTTGGGTTACCATTGACCCAGGACTGATTAGTGTAGCTCACCAAACGCTATGCCTCAGATGCTTTGTTAAATTCATCTGCTGTCTCCTCAAACAAAACATGCTGAAGTACCAGTCTGTCTGATCCATACTCCACAGCTAGCAAGACACCACGCCCCGTAAACTGCTGTTTCCCTCCCTGACCCTTTCCAATGGTGTCTCATACAATACAAGTTTCTGGAAGACTAGACACTTGCTTTTTACGCCAAAGCAATGGTTGCAGTAGTTCTAGATGATCAAGGCCACAAAACTGTAAATCAGGGTCACTGATACAGTCCCAAGTTCAGCATATTTAATTATACACTAATGTCCATCACCTTTGAGCTAAGAACAGGTCAGCAGATGACCCTCTTCCTGGGACCTGGTCATGTAAGGTTCTATACTAAACCAAACACTTTTTAGGTCAAAGGCTTGGTGCTGTAACTCCAGTTCTCAAGGGCATCAGTGTGTGCAAAACCATACCTCGGGCCTCATTCGTTTCAAGTGGCATAAGAATCTCAACTATTTTTTATTTATTTTTTTTTAAAAGAAAAAAGCTGCGTAAAGAATTTATAAACTGAGGCCCACGGAAAGTGAAGTTCCCATGTGTGTGCTATAAGCAGTCACTCTGAACAGTTAATGGACTCTCTCAACTTTTATCCCCACAAAGATAACCAAATGCTACTTCCCACAATGTGGAATGACCAAAATAGTAAATTGGGCCAGTCACAGCATTTCAAAGACCAAATCAATAGCTAAATAAATGGAGCTTAAAACCCTCTGGGTATCAGAGACCGATATTTCCAACCCCTGGTGTAAGTTAGCCGTAATGGTGCAGCTGAGATCTCTTAGGGCTCCCTCCCACAGTCCAGAATCAAGGGCATTCTTTGCAGAATGAGCACAGGGCAAATGAAACCAAACTGCACAGAACTAAAAATAAGGACTAAGGCTCAGGCACAGCCTCGCTCACCGTGCTACCAGAACAAGCAAACCCATCTAACGGCCAGATTACTTTGCTGGAAGAGGAAGCAGGAAAAGCCAAGTAAGCTTTCCTGCACACCAGGCCTTACATCTGACCCCAAAGCAGCAACCACGCGCTTTTGACAAGATATAAGAAATGCCTCCCCAGCAGATGTGATCTGGAGGATCTTTCCAAGAAACACCGAAATCTGTACATACGCTACATTTACCAAAACCAGCCGTGAATTGAAAAGATGCTTACAAGTTGTAATTGCCCAAAAATATGGAACAAAACTCAAACTGTCAACTTTGAGTTCTGCCTTAAAGTGCTCAAGCTGACAATTTTTTCCACAAAATCCAGGTAAGGAGAGTGCACAGGATTAAAATATATAATATGATAACGTGTTGGAAGGGGGGGGGGGGACTAAGGAAAAGACTTGGAATATCATGACAATATATTCCACAGAGCTGGGAAGGACAATAATAATTCAGAGCACTTCCTGCATTCTAAAAGGGCAACATGAGAATGAAGCCACACTGTACAAAATCTATTAACATTTTTTCTAGACATTTTATTATTATTAAAATCAAAATGTCAACCATTTAAAATCATATACACGCAGAATGCATTTTAAAGGTTAGCACACTTCCTTCAAAATTTATACATATTTACTTTTTTTCTTAAAGTCACAAGCAGAGAGCCAGACTTGGTCACCTAGACAGTGAGGACATGGGACATGTGATCCCCTGACCTCACTCCGCTTACAGTATGCCATCCCCCTGACCCTGAGTCCTTTGTAACTGTGACTGGTCTGCAACACAGGGCCCTCCATACAGATTTCTACATGTGGGATTTAAAAAATGGGTTGGAGGGGTTTCAGAGCCTTCAATCCGACCTCCATTTTACAAATAGGACTCCAGGGAGAAACCAGAAGTGTTGGAGAAAATAACTGAAATGGCCACAAGATGTCACTTGTGAGGCAAGTGTGCACTCTCACAAAGGACTCCTGACCATATTAACTTACCAATGGAAACCATTGTTTTCACAATGTGGGAATTACAAGCATCCCATTGATGTCACCTGTATCCCCCCACACTATCCTTAATCTTTTGTCATCCATGGGTCATAGCTGCTACAGATATTTAGCGATATATACAGGCAGCCCAATCTGTTAATTTCTATGGTACATAAATTGCGAATGGCCTGCTTTGCTTGGTAGAGTACACTTTGCCTCATTAATGTACAAGCCTATAAGACAGCAGCATCTGTTTACAGCTCAAACTCGCTTCTCAAATCTCTCGCCTTTAAATCCCTCCCACAGTTGCAACAGCCCCCCCCTTTTTTTTTTTACACACAGGATCCACTTCCACTGAAGTCCAATACCCAATAAAAATATAAAGAACAAAAAACATTTTTAAAGTCTTGACAAATGTGTCAAACACCAGAATGAAGAGCAAGCAAAGAGTAGCATCAGATGTTAATATTAATCATAATGACAGTAAGGCAACAAATGAAAATTTGCAGGAAACAAAAATTGATATGGACAGGGGTTTTGGAGACAGATGAAAGACAGTACAGTATAACAAATAGTGAAGATGATTTTTATAGTAGACAGGGAAGGAACAAAGTTCCCCCACTCAAGTGCCTTCAACTATTCCTCAGATTTACCCAGTACACAGATGGGCATGTGGCAATGCTCACTGGAAATTCTGCTGACCTGCCAGTGTGGAGAGTTTGAGCTTGTCTTTGTACCTCGACAGGATCTACTTGATCTCAGTCTGCCAAGGCAAGTGGTGAGCTAGATTTAGAAAGGTGGGAGCAGATTTATCACACGTCCCGTTAAGGGAACCTGAAAGTCCTCCCACCCCATTCCACCTCTGAACCTCAACTCCGAATGGTGCCCTCTAGGGGGCGGGGGGGGGGGGGTGTACCTCACATCTTTACCTGTTCTCTACCGCCAGCTAAAAGTCTTTGAAACAGCAAAGTAGAATCATACACATTTAACCTAAAAAGTCCTAGATTAAACCATGCATGGGTGATGCAGACATTGATAGTGTGTCAGATTGAGCATCAGTCTACTTCACGGGGGTTCATTCAAATTTCATGAAGGTACCGATATTTATATACATACAATAACTATAAAATGAAAAATAAAAAAGGGTTTAATTCTTTTCTGTTCTTGAATGGTACTGTGTCCATTCCTTTGTCTGGGACTTGGGTCCCTGGGATATGACAGATGGAGCAGGGTATCATGAGTAGATGGTCTGCATGAAGGTGCAGGTGTAGAGAACAGGAGGAGGACTGATGGACAGGAGGCAGGAGAGGCAGCAATGGAGGGGGGGAGGGGGGTGCAAAGTGGAAAATGGACAGCTCACAAGCTCAAGGCCCATCCCTTGTGTTCTTTTTAAACTCCATGCCCCCCTCCAGCACAGCTTATGTTGTTCAGCAGGGACTGGGCAGGCAGGGGCGCACTTGGGCAAGGGGAAGGGGGGGTTGGGCATGATAGCAGGGTCTGAGTGAGATTGGGGTGGGGTGGCTTGGGGGAACAGGTGATCATTAGCACCCGCACCCTTCCTTGGGGGGCTGTGGTTCACTGGTTAGCCGCCCACCCTGGGGGGCAGAGGGCTTGTGCTGCACCCCTGATTCAGCAGCATTGAGGTCCAGGCTTCCATCCTGGATGTTCTGGTAGATCTTCTTGGCAGCCTCCAGGAATGCATCTTCCACGTTCTCGCCTCTGTGGGGGGGGGGGGGGGGCAGCAGAAAGACAGTCATTTTCAGGGTACATGTGCATTATTTCACAGGGTTTGAGATATACTTCAGGGAACTTACGTTTTTGCACTGGCTTCCAGGAACAACAGGCCTGTAAGAATGAAAACGACGACATGTGACTCTGCCAACAATCTGTACTCTTCCCATCCTAAAGCATCAACTTCAACCATCATTCAACATAAGTTAGCTCTTCCCACGAGGGACCATTTTCTCACCATTTTCTTCAGCAAATTGTTTTGCCTCTTCATATGTGACGTCCCTCTGGGCCTCCAGGTCAGCTTTGTTGCCTATGAGAATGATCACCTGTAGGGGGCACCCACTGGTCAGATGCAAACAGGGAGCTCTTGCTTCACGACAAGCATGGGCATGTCAACGGACACTTATAACCCAGCATTAATGCCAAGTCACACGATAAGAGCCTTCAACGAAGACTTCCAGGTTGGGAGCCTGTATTCTCAGTGCTAGAAGAGATGTTTTAAAGCACACTCCTCTGTCAGAGGCAGCTTGGGCTCCAAATCATTATAATCATGTTCACGGGACATTTTCCGTACCATCAAATACTTAGGGAAGGATGTCATGATTTCAAGCAATGCCCGGTGCACGTGTCACGTAGTAAGCCTCGGAACATCTACGGAAATCTAACCAGCCACACCAGTGGAAACGAGAATATAGCTTCCCATAATGAATGACATTTAAATGAAGATCAGCAAGAAGTATGCAAACGAGCTGTGACATGTT